TAAGTTGCGTCTGCCAAACTGCACAAAAAAATGTTGCAGTTGCAATGTTCCCCTGGCTTCTCCTTGGTATTGACTGAGATTGCATGCATGTGTGTAGCACCTTCATACATGTAGATGACTTCTCCCCACCGCCCCTCCCCAGGCTTTGTCTCTTCAGCTGAAATATTATTTATTGGTAAATAATTCAGGGACATACTCCGGTTTGTTTCTTTATGGGTCCTCAAACTCTGAAGTTAATTTCCTTTTCAGCTTAATAGCTAATAGTTAGATAAGAGCTCTTCTCTCTCTGCCATGATATGTGGTAATATTTGTCTCATGAAGTCTGTTTCCATATTTGATGATTCATTTCTTTTCCAGGATATAAATTACTTGCTTTTAAGAAGTGGTTTTTTAATCATTAACCACATATTTGAGTTATAAAGACTTTGAACTGTTCATCACTCTTGCTTTGAAAGAGCGTAACAAACACGCACATGAAAATGTCCTTAGCATGAAATGGAGAACTTGGAGCCTTGAGGCAACACTGATGAACTAGCTGATTTCTCACATGCCCACTGCAAAGTGGGAAGGAGCAAGGGGTAACTGGCAAAGTGATTGGCAGCTCTTACGGGTCAGAGAGAATCTGTTAGTCATGCAGGTGCATTTTAGGCACATTTGCTGTTCTTTGCAGCTGTCAAAGAGGCAGGGGAGGCCTGTGTGGAAGAGGCAGGCAGGACTATATTTGCCTGAGCAGGTAGGAAGAGATGTGGCACTTCAACGAGGGATGTTGTGTATGTGTTCCAGACTAGGCACTTTGAGAGCCCCTACCTGGTGTATCATGAGAAGATCAAGACCAGCCGCGTGTTCATTCGAGACTGCAGTATGGTGTCAGTGTACCCGCTGGTCCTGCTTGGAGGCGGGCAGGTTCACATGCAGCTGCAGAAGGGAGAATTTGTCATTTCTCTTGATGATGGATGGATACGGTTTGTGGCTGCCTCTCACCAGGTAAGGAAAAAGAGGAATAATCCTGGGAGTGCTGCAGAGCTGTGCTTGTGTTTAGAATGCAGGAGATGCATTTCATGAGCCTTAGACTTGCCTCTGTGCTTTACCATGTGCGTTAGGTGGCTGAGCTGGTGAAAGAGCTGCGCTGTGAACTAGACCAGCTGCTGCAGGATAAAATCAAGAATCCCAGCATGGATTTATGCATGTGCCCCCGTGGATCTCAGATTATCGGTATGATTGTAAAGCTTGTGACCACGCAGTAATGTGAGAACCCTTTCTATAAAGACGCACTGTTTGCCACTGCCTGAGAACAGACCAAGTGACATCAGTGTATTGATGTATTTGTTGTCCCAAAACATGGTGCTGATCTCTGGAAGACCATGTTGGCAACTGTACTATTGACAGGTTTTTGGCTTGCTTGTTGCAAGTAAGGTGGCTTACAGTACACTCTGGAAAATGGCAGATCTCCCAGGAGGAATGAAAACCTCCAAGTAAGAAAGTAAAGTGGTTTTTTTATGAGGCTGTAAGCTGGCAATAGTGTTTCAGGCGACAAAAACCCCTGCTACTTAGCTGCTTCTTGGAATAGTAATGTCTGGAGGCAGCATGCGACATCATAAGCTGCTCCCAAATTGATTTAAACTCACTTCTACATTTTGGCCAAGACTTCACTGAGGTAGTCAGTCTTGGCTGACCAGGGACCCATTTGCTTACGGTTCAACCCAGAGCCCTTAAAACCCTAACCGCCTTCTGATTCATGTCAAGGGGTTCTGAAATGGATTTAGAGAGTGTCCTCTAGTGAGGAGACTCTACCGGATCTGTTGGAGTAACGTGTTGGATCAGTGTAGGCTATTCTGGTTATAGTGTAAAACTGCAGGGAAGTGTGGACATTTCCCCTGAAAGCTGGGCTTCTCCAGCTGACCCTGCGCTGTGAAAAAGCAAAACATGATATGGACTGCTGTAATGCATTAAAAATGGATCCTTGGGTGGACGGTAGTGCTTACTGTTAACCTCCTCTGGTAGGTGGTAATCCTCCTGCCACCTTGCATGCTGGAAGAAAGTCCCACTTTTGGAAACTTTTAGCCAAACTCCTGCTCTGGGCAGTGGACTGCCACAGAAGAGTGTGGTGAAATGCCACAGTAATAATGAACTATTACTTCTTCCCTTCGACATTGCTTAATTGCAATGCTAAGCATTGGCACAGCTGAGCTGCTTGATGTACTAGCAATCGCAATAGCAAGTGCCTTAAAAGTGAAGTAACTTTGCTGTCATCTGTAGTAGTAAAACCACTGTCTCTACCACCAACCCTGCCTAGAAATAGTCTTCCAGCTGAGGAATGATGAGCAGAGGGAGGTGCATCATTTGCAGACTAGTTCAATTTTTCAAAAAAAATGCTTGAATGTTTGTAGAAGCAGTTTCACAGCAACACCCTTGCATGAGGAAGAAGACAGGAGTACCAAGACCAACATACCAGTGCAGCAGAATGGTCTCTGCAGGTATGTTAACTGCAGAAGGCTAAACTGTTCCCACAGCATAATGTTGGTCAACACTACCACCATATCCTGTAACTGTGCACCTGCACGCTTGGTGTTTTTTTTCTGAGGTTTAGTGAAAAGCTGTTAAGGGCTAGGAATCCTGGGGTGGGGTATTAAAGCACTGCAGAGGCATATGGAGTGTGTCGTCAGCCATTAGCTGGACTGTTAGATATGGCATCACTTCTGTGTGTGCCTGACAGCCATGCCAGTAAGAGTAAGAAAATACTGTTTCTGTTCAGGCTGGCTGTGGAGTGAAATAGGAAGAGATTCCATTTTTCACCTCAGACTGTCAAAGTGGTATCCTCTTGAATAAATGACTTCTCAACCACCAGAGTGCTGCATTTTGGATGGAAACTAGTGCTCAAGCAGGATCTGTATGACTCTTCCCCCAAGTACATGCTAAATTCCACCTGGGCTGTTCTGAAGTGAAGGTGAGGGGAAGGACAGCTGATGATGTAGCAGGTGATAATTAGCTGGAGGGAGGACTTGTGCCTTGCCTTGGTAGCAGAATGGGTAAGTCTGGGAAGGGAACAAAGCACAAATCAATAGACACAATCCAAAGATGACAGTGGATACTGAACTGTGAGCACATCCCTCATGTCTCACTGCCCAGGCTGCAGTGCCAGCTGTTACTTTAGAAGGGTTTCTACAGGCTGACTTCCTAGGAATTGCATATGCACCAACCTAGCTTCATGGACTGGTCACAGTGGTTTTATTACTTGCTTCCTTCAGCAGGTATGAAACCATGCAACAGCTCCATTTCCCCTTAAGTCTAAAGGCATAAAATACTACAAAATGACTGAGACAGACAAGCCAGTCCAATCCACCAGGTGAAGAGCAGAGGCAGAGCTAGAGCCTAGCTGCTGTGCTCCCCAGTAGCACACTGTAAGCCCTCAACAGTACAGCTGGAACTGCCTTTGAGACAGCAGTCTCTAAAAAGGGGAGACTCACATTAAATATAAATAAGCACCAAACACAATGGCAGTGCTACTGTTAATCACCATAGGCCTCGCCATGAGGTATGAGGAGAACCACTCCCAGCTACAGCTGAGGAGTGGTTCCTTCTCCCACCTCCTCCACAGGAGCCAACTCCCTCCAACTGCTGACCAAAGCTTGCCCCTAGTAACCCTCTTCTACCCTGAGCACATGGATGCAGTCCCAACCTACCCCCTTTCTTGTCATACTCTAATATTAATTGCAGCATCATCAGCAAGGAAAGTCACTTATCCTACTAAGCACCAATGCACTAAAATGTACAAACATGGAAAAGAGAGAGAGGAGGGACAAGACAAACGTATGCTGTGGTACACAGGAAGAGTCTTTGTGAAGTCACATACAGAGGCTCATTATCATTCTTTTAATACCTGGACATCTTGTCAAGCAACAATGACCAAAGTTCATCAGAAAACCTGGCATTAGGTGCCCACGCACAGCTGCAGTGCTCTAACAGTAATCAACCCACTGCTAGCAAATTAGAAGCCCGCAGAGAATTATTGTTCCTCTCTGGCCTGTAAGACAGCAATATAGGCCAGAACATACTGCAAGGAAGACTTTTTAAGTCAAAATCATCTGGCACTCTGATTTCCTTATAGTCTGATAATAGCCATTATCAACTGCAGAGACAAATCAAATTGCCAAATACCTTGCACTAGTTTATCCTATTTACATTAAATCCTTCAGTAACCTATCTGTATACAGGCAGCTACAGTCCAGTTTCCCAAAGCAACAACTGATCAGGACAGCAGCAAGTCCCTTGGTTACACTATTGCCAAAGGAAAAGATGTGACCAGGCAGATCAGGTCAGACAGGTGTAACACGAGCTCTTCATTCCCCAAATGTACTGCTACTTAAACATTCTTGTGGCCTTCCATCTGTAAGAAAAGCCTTAATTTCCTAAAAAGAATATCTAAATAGATTATGTTCTGCACCAGAACTGACAATTTATTTTAATTATCACAAAGAAGTAGTACTATTTGGACAAATGGGACATAAAACAAGATTTCTAAAAATATTTACTTCAATAGTTTACATTCCAGCAGTATTCCAAATACCTTCAGGTGAGAAGTTCACTGGTCTTTTATCAACAGGACAGACAGACAGCATTCACACATTCCTTGTTTTTTCCATCTGTTAATGCCCTTTGTAGACATTTTTTTAAGTCAAATCATCAAGTGTACAAGCACCTCCAGACAGGTTTTCAGCTTTACTGAGCTTTGAGGAGGTGCAAATAAAAACACAAGGTACATATCACCATAACATTCAAGACCGAACAGTAAGAGTGACAGCTGGTACTGGTAACTCTTCACTCTAATCAGTGCTCTGTAGGAATGAAGTCCTACAACAGGCACACACCTGCAGGACAGCCATTGACTGGCTGCTGCACTACACTCAATGCACAAGTGCCTGTAACAGCCTGCCACCTGCTTTTCACCACAGTGGCATGTGACCTGCTTCAGCTACCCAAATATTAACAGAAACAGCAGGGTTATCACAAAGTATTTCTTAGTTAGAAATGCACAGTTTATTTCAACACACCAATAAAAAAACCCAACATTTTCAGATCACAGAACGTTAACACAACAGAGTTTTGCATTAGTCTACTAATAAGACTTTTAAAAGATCCAGATTCATGCCAATTGTTAGTCAATAGAAACAGCCTTCTAGGACTAAGCCCTTACATTTATAAAGACACCACAAAATCCCTTATAATAGCGTAAACAAAATAAATTTTCTTCAACTTTTTAAATTTGAATCCATTCTCTCAGGGCTTGCACTTCTTCAAGGGCTTCCTGATGGTGAGTGACTGAAAGGGAAAGAAAAAGATCAAGAGCAACTCCTACAGCAAAACCAACAGAAATGGTACATGCTACCCCAGCTTTCCTTTGCCCAGGAGCCCTGCCCCCCTGCCTCATACTGCCCCTCCCCAAATTGTTTTCATTTCCATGTTACATTTTACACCTTTATAAGTAACAACTGCTTTAAGCTTGAAAGGGGCATGCAAAATGAGAGACATCAGCTGCAACAGCTAGGTGAGACATCAAGCCTGCTCAGAAAGCACCTTGGAGCCTGCGCTCCAGCTGTGCAGAGGAATTTTTACTCTGCCATAACCTACACAGTTCCAGTTTAGGGCTAGCCATGAGGCACTATCTCAGACTATGTAAATTCCAGCATATACTTTTCTGGTTACACAGGAAAACTTGCTTCTTACTTTGCAGTGCATAGCAAAACTTGGCAGCTGTGCAACTAAGAGCCAGCTGTGAGGAGCCACCAGCAAAAAAACACATATTTATGGTTTGCTCCATACCTTACATTACTCACTTCTTCCCCAGATTCTAAATTCCTCAGGAACTTTGGGATAGTCGATTCTCATTTGCCCACATTTTCTGTTGTCCTTTAAAATTTCATTAAAGTAGGTTACCTTAGAGTTATTATCATGAAGTTCTGACTACCAGCAGTAGGAAGTGCCCATAAAACTTCATCTTTTCATAGTAGGAAGTGCCTATAACAATTCACCTTTTCATAGTTCACAAATTAAGACAAGTAAAAAACTTTAAGCTTCTATCCTTGCACAAGTTAACTTCTATAGCAACCACTCCAGACACTAGTTCTATGTAACTGTATGGCACACTCCAGTTTTAAGATATTCCTACCTTCTCTTTGGAGATGGTGATCTGGACTTTGAGCGACTGTTAAAAAAAAAAAACAACACAACACCACAAAAACCAATCAATGTGGTAAACTTGTATACATTCAGTAACCACTTTTGACCATTTAAAAAACAGTAAGAACAGTCTGATGTTGTTAAACACATGAAAAGACACCACCCTTAATGCTGCTGATAGCAAGTATACCCAATTACTTTAAGCAAGAAGCTGTTGTTGAGAAGGAAAACTGCTGAAAGCTGGAGCCCTTGGGAAAAGAGCAACACACAGCTTCAAAGCAGCTATAAAATGATCACAGTAATCCTGCAAAGCGGGAGCAGTGAATCAAGTAGAGGAGAGCCAGGAAGACTGAGAACTACAGACAGTTGAAAACCAAGGTAGGGAA